TATAATTTTGTTTTCTGTGAAGATACCACATATAACATACTTTATAGCAACACACACGATCACAGGAAGGTTAAAATTTTGGAATAGAAAAGTTATTTAACATTTCGACACGTCAACTATTTGGTGTTACTACAAATTTAACCTATTATAAATACATGTATGAGTATTGCACACGTTAACTAATAAGGTAATAGATTCTCATGCAATACAGACGGCGGCGGTGATTCAACATTACTGAACACTGTTGTAAATGGTTCCTTCGTTAATTGCATATAATTTTCCAAGCATTGAGCAAATACGTTGAACTAAACTGTAAAAAACCATTCACAACAATAGATTATTTCACTTCTATTATATAATTTCACAAGTATAAAATTTTACAGACAATTTAACGTTTTTATTTTATTTCAATTTCCAGAATTTTAGAAACGTTAAACTTTAGGCTAAATATTTTATATTTTAACACCTATTTTATGTAAACAGCTTAATTGGATCTCTGATCCATTACATATTTATTAGGATAACCATATCTGTATCTATATAAGTACATTTTAAGGGTGAAGTCACATTTGTCAGCATCGATTCGCAGTTTATCTATTGAAAATGGCTGTTTTATACAAATATGCTCAACGCATCAACTTTCCTTCATGCATCGGTTCAGTTATCAAATTTAAAATGAAGACAAGTGTAGTCACTTATTTTATATAATACTAGCCTTTACCCGCGACTTCGTCCGTGTGAAAACTTTTACATAAAAACGTTGTCGTTGGGTAAGTAGTTCAATTATCGAAAAACTAATTTTAGGGCAATATGGGAAAACGTTGAATATAAAAACTAAAAGCTTAATAATTTTGCGTAAAAAAAGGTCTCTTCACCTCAACCTTTATCTCTCATAGTTTTATTTCTTGAGTTTTTATTTATTCTGTGGTTTTATTGTAAAATGGTATTGAAGTAAAAAATTGTTAAACAGCGAATTCACATTAATATTTTAAGAGGTAGAAAAAAAAGTTTTGTTCGACTTTTTCATATCCTAGTTTATGAGATCATCAAAACATTTTTTAGATCAAATACAGATTAGATCACTCCTGGTATTGCTTTCTTTCTTTTCTAAAAGTTTCATCACATTCTTTTCATTCATTCCCAAGATCAGTCCAGACAGACTTTTTTCGTTTTAATATCATTCAAATAACTCCTTGAGCTATAAAAGGAGCTAAAATTTATATATCATTTATTTATAAGAAGCTGACATAAGAGAACGCATGGGACCGGATGCACTTACGCAAGCGTACATACCACAACGCAGCTTATGTTAAAAAATAAAGCAGCTGAGAACAAATTATCGGACGCGGCTGACGGACGCGGCTGACAGCCGCGGCTTATTGAGGTCTAGCCAGTACATTTAATACTACACTGTGTAAACTATCGGCCGTAAGACGCGGACATGACCTTGCGTCGCTCTTGAGCGTTCGGACGTCCGAACAGAATCTGGCCGGCTGGATGTTTGGTGCGTCCGCGGACAGTGTGAACGGGCCACGGGACGCGTCCGCGGACGTTTCGAGTGTCACAAGCAAACTAACTGCGCTCGCGACATGATGTGTAATGAAAAAAAATTAATTGAATGTGTTGGCTACGAGTGCCTATATTTATAAGTACATTCATAAGTACATTTTTTAACGTTTATCATCTTTTTGTAAGTCTGGATACAATGTATGAAATTCATCATACTCGTCATTAATATCATGGACCCAAGCACTCCTTTTCACTTTTTTTAGGAGGACAGCATAAAACAGTTGCCGCTAACTTTATAGATTCATCCTCGCTGTCGCTGCTTGTCATATTTCTCGAATGACAAACCTTTATGGAATGACCGAAGCGAGGAGTCCGAAGACGCCGTCTCGACTACCGTGCACACCGCTAAGCCGCGTCTGTCAGCCGCGGCTGACGGACGCGTCCGATAATTTGTTCTCAGCTTAATCGATTGTGCGTGAACGTATATATATTATGAATGGAGAGAGTAGGGAACCGAGGGGAGGAGACAAAGGTAGTTTAGTAGAATTCGCCTTTATAGTTGACATAAGTATAACATGATTTTCATAAATTATGATGACAATAAAAGTACTTAAAGAAAATACATATGTTGTTAGGTTATTGCAGCAGTTGCGTTTGATACATATATATATAAGTGCATCAAGCGCAACTGTATATAAGTGCACTGTGCATGTATATAAGTGCAGTTATAACCTTCTAAGTATATATTGTCAGATGAAGCTGTAAGAACCGCATAGACTAACAGAACACACACGTCTCGAAAATAGATCTAAGTAAATACGAATTGAGCTGATAAATGTGACATTAAATTTATTATATTTAAACAATAAGGATAGAATAATATATATTTTATGATTATAAATATTAAATTAGCAATGCATAGTATAGGATTTTCTTATTATTAAATACACAGGTTTAGTAAATAAGTATTTAGCAGGTATAAAGGTAGAAAGCTATGACAACTTCCGGAAAGATAAAAAATAAAGTGTTTGGTAGTTAATATATATATAAAAGATAAAGGTTAGTTAATATATATTTCATTTTTATTTCACCCAGAAAACTTCATTTGAATATATTTAGGACATGCCTTACATTTAATATAGACGTATATAAATTTTGCTTATATATGTTTCTTTAATTTCTCTTTCCTTTGGCTTCTCTTTGAAACTCGTTTTATCATAAGAATATATAACATTACAATAAAAGTTTAGCAGCACAAGAAAGTATGACATTTATAAATTTTACATTAAATTGTGGTGAAAAACAACTGGTATATGCAAAAAAGCAACCATAAATATTTAATGCATTTGGCAGATAAACGGTCCAACTAATAGCAATATACCAGGGAATCTTTCTATAAGTACTGAAAATAGTAAAAGGGTGTGCTTTGAATTTGTTTTTGAATATTTAAACAAAAAATAATATTTGTGAAAGTACATGATTACTGTAAATTTAATTCGAATAATTTCTGTAAAAAGCATATAATATAATCTGGTAAATTAATGGTAACTTAATTTAACATTATATAAACAACATAAATAGTTTATAACACCAAACATTGGTATAAATACTTTCTAGTTTTATAAACGGTTAAGAGAAAAAAGGTATGTGACATCGAACAGAAAAACTAAAGTTTTATTTATGATTTCCAGTGTCTGAGTAAACACGAAGATGGAGGGAATAATGAAAGTAAGAACAAAGTCACTATGAAGCTAACGCAAAAACTTATTACTAACTAAATGTTAATAAACTAATTATTATTAATACATAGTCGCCTCACCAACGAGATTCACTCAGGATATATAGGTAATTTATTTCTACAAATAAAACTCTAAATTATGTTACATACATTTTTTTCATATTTTATTAATTTTTAGCTGGAACATTAATCATTTTTTTTAGTTTTAATTTTATTTTATATATCTAACATTTAGAACTCGCATACATGATAACTGTAATCAGTCACATTATGAAAAATTTTGCTTTACATTAAATGATTTTTTATTCTGGGGCTACATTTAGCATTCAATTTTTAAGAGTTCTTGTCTTTGCTAAAATCAGTTTTATAGTTAACCGATTATTTTTATAATTTTATAGTTAATTTTATTTTATATATCTAACATTTAGAACTCGCATACATGATAACTGTAATCAGTCACATTATGAAAAATTTTGCTTTACATTAAATGATTTTTATTCAGGGGCTACACTTAGCATTATCAAATTTTTAAGAGTTCTTGTCTTTGCTAAAATCAGTTTTATAGTTAACTGATACATAATTTCAATTTGCGAAAAATAATTTAGATTTCAAAAAGCAAATCTTTATTTAATTTTGTTATTATCATTGTTCATAGATTAAAATAATATTTATAGTAGGTATAATTTTTATTAACATTTTCTTGGTTTTCCTAAATATACCAAATACTCTCAGAACGGCTTCTATTTGCAAAAAGAACCGAGATTTCCCAAAACAATGTTATTTTGTACGTGGTGGAGTCACATTGAGGCTATATTATGGTTGTAGCACAAATGGGTTGTCTCCACCGGGGAAGGACCACCCTCCCACAGAAAAGCAGCATAAAAAAGGAGCTTAATGCAGCTGTTTCGTATAGTGATTGTACCCCTTTTTACTACATTTTTACTGGAAACGAGGCATTCCATATAGTACTCATTGGTGACAACGCATCCTAATTTTGATTCTTTATTTTATTTATTCGAGGATAGATGTAGATGTATATGGACCACAACATCCACTTATCACCAGTTGTACTGTGTGCTCCTTTGTCACCGTCATTTCATAAAGAAATATAACATTAAATAAATTCTACTTTGAAAATCTTTATCGATTTTCGTTATTAGGATTGTGCATACTATAAAAATAATGTTTATGGTAACATTTTCCTAATTTAATTAAATATTTTCATACTTGGCAAGTACTTTAAGCTTATTTAGTATTTTCCTACACTTACTATATTATTTTGTGACGGTTTTTGTAAAGAAACGCCTGATACTACAAACCATCCTGAATGTTACGTTTACGAAATATCAGTAAATGATCCCCAGGGAATGATTCTTAATACTTTTCTCACTGTTGGATCACAGAAAGGGAAATAACGTTTGTACCTGTACTTACATAGAAAGGTATAAACTGCTACAGGTCAACTGTACAATAATCGTCAGGTACACATTATCGCAAACTTTTGGTACCAAAAATAGAGATAATTATACTGAACACTTTAGCTAGATGTAAAAAATATAGGTATCAATAAACAACAACAAGGATTAGGTATCCGAGAAGTGTACAAATATTTCTCGCACCTCTACTTAAGTACATTAATAATACAATAATATTTATAGAAGGCGACAACATACCACAATACGAAGAGAACCCAATCAGATCACTCTTCACAATCTAGGTATCTAATACTCTGATATATCTCACAGCTCCCAGTTTATATACCGTAGTCAAAACTTTCAAATTCGGAGAATCTTGAGTCTTGTTTCTGTAAGCGCTGCTGACATGCCTCAATATAGCTGTCTTGAATTCTGTACATTCCTGAATTAGCTTGATACATCAATGTTTCCAGAATACGCTCATTCTTAATGGCCTTGGAGGGAAGCACTACTTTGATTAATTCCTGCGGTGAAATCCTGTAAAGCTTAAGGTCTCTGGCTAACCTCTCCATAATAGTTTTAAATTCATTTTTGGCGTCAGTCTTATTGGTAGATTTGTATTTAATTTTGTTTCGAGCCCAACTCAGCATAGCTTCGAACTTTCTTACCTCTGGCACCTCAAGGTTTCTGCACATGATCATTTGTACCATGGATTCGGAAAGATTAAGAAATTCAGACGTTTGAAACAGAGCGTAAGTTCTCTGTTCGATGAAAGCTAGAATCATATTGACCAATTCCGACGCTGACGTGTATCTCCAATAATAATTTTCCAGAGATATTAACATCGTACATGCCTAAAAGACAAAAACAAAAAAACTTTAGAATGTATGGAGTAGCGAAAAATAGCTCTGATTTTATTTAAGAACTAGCTGCTAAGCCCGGCAGATGTTGTTCTGGCCTTTCCGGTAGGTAGAGCGATAAGTTTCACTTTGAATTTAATTCGAAATTTTTGCAGGGTATATACAAATTCTAAACTGGATAAGAGTGCAACCTGTCGTGTCCATACTTTGTGATTCTTTTTGGCACTAAATAATTACATATTGTGTATAGGTGTAATTTCAATACATGGATGTTGAGTTTGGAAATTATTCTATCCTAGTATAGCTATGCACCACCGCCTTGACAGTACAAAAATATTGTGTGAATATCAATTGGTTAAGTCGACCAGAAGTTAGATCGCCACTAATAAAACACAATACCACTTAACTATATTTTATAAAGATTTACAGGGTATTATGTCATTAGTGGCGTCTAAAAATATTCAGAAAGACCAGAAATTAATATCGTAACTGTTGCAGCTCAATTCATTTTGGATAATATTAATTCTATAACTATTTTAATATCTTACACGTAATAAGTGTAATAATATATTAATATGCGTAATATCTGAATTTGCAGTTCCATGGTACAGATTTCACAAAACTGTAGGATTATTTTTGGATAGGTTATACATATATACTTACCAACCAAAATTCCCTGTAAAGTTACCGATATGCCTTTGCATAAATTGAAGACGCATGAAAAAAAGCATTCTTATGAAGAAATATTATTATAAATTAGATATATACATAAGAATGCGTGGACAAAATGAGACTTTCTTGACTGGTGTATTTAAATTTATTGGGGTAAAATTGTAGGTAACTGTTGGGGAAAAAAGTCTACTTGTGAATTTATTGCTACTTCTCACATTAATACGATAGTATAGCATTACAAAGGCCAATTATGTATTAAAATACTTTGAATTTGTCTTTTATTTATTGATTAAATGATTACTGATATAAAGTCCTAAATTGAGTACGCTTTTATCCTAGTCAAGTATTCCACTTACCACTTCTATCCTCAGGAATTGTTTAGCATGATGGAAGCAGGCTTGCAAAAGTTCCGGCAAGTCGTAATGTTCAGCCGCACAGATGAGCCCCGGTATGGACGCGCAGGTGAGAGGACAACTACCAGTGTGCAAGTAGTCCAACAATATGCGGAAAGTATCCGGATCGAATTCTATTATTGAGAACTGAAAAATACAAAAATTGCATATTATACGTTATATTTAATAGATAGGTGACTAAGCTGTATTCGATATTGTGAACCCGCTTGCAAGCGTGGCAAGGATGGCAAATATCCCTATGCAAAACGACATGAAAATGGCCGCAGACCAAGGCGCAGCGGCCTGCTATCTATCGGGGTAGGGGGTGCTAAGAATATCCGGTGGAGGTTCGGTTATCATCCTTTCTGACTCAACCTAGCAACATTTAACGCACGCACTCTTAGGATTGTAGTTGAAAAAGAGATAAACAAGTTGCGCTGGAATATTATAGGATTATCTGAAGTCCGAAAAGAGGTAATACTCGAATTCAGCAATTTATTTTATTATTAGGAGCGCGACCATCTGCCTCAAGGAGATGCCGGATATATCGTCCACAATTCTCTCGTAAATGATTTTGTGAAGATTTTTTTTTATGAAATAGAGTTGACAAACGCACACAGTACACCTGGTGGCGAGTAGATGCTGTGGTCCACAGACATCTAAAGATATCGTTGATTAAGAATCAAAATGCAGATTTGTTTTTTACAGAATAAGGGTGCACGCAGTTCATCTTATGGTTAGTGGAGGATGTGGCCCAAAGAAATCTACATTTATCTTCATATAAGAATAAAAAATGCAGATGCATTGTCGCCGCTGAGGACTAAGATGGAATGCCTCGTTTCCAGTGAAAGGGTCTCCGGTTATCTACATTCACCACACGAAACATAGCAGTATTAAGCTTCGGAGTGTGTTGACAAACATTTCATACCTTGTACTCAGAATTACTAAACGATATTGCTCACAGTTTCTCTGCCTGATGGACTTCGTCGTCATGAGAATATACGCAGTAAAACCAGATTAACCGACGTAGCACAACTAATTAGTAAACTGGAATGGCAATGTGCCGGCCGAGAAGAACCGATATCAGAAGGGGAAGAAATGTTCTCGAGTGGTAACTTCGTACCAGTAAGGAACGTATATGGCAGCTCCCAACTATGTGAAGTGTCGAAATGATAGGAAATGTAGAAAGTCGATGGATGCAATGGCATTACGACCGTACTTTGAGGCGTTTTTTGGGAGAGGCCTTTGTTCAGCTGTGGACTTGTGAATCGCTGCAATAATGAACTATATTATATATGATACATATATACAATAATTACATATTTACACATACAGAAAAAGTTTGTATATTTTAAATAGTGGGTCCTTTATACTGGTGTAAGTAATGGGTCTATCCAATGAACGCAAAAGTAAAAAGAGTATTACCTCAGTTTGTGCAAGTTTGGCACGATCAACTTTTTGTGCGTCAGCGCATACTGATAGTCTTGGTACAGCTAACGCTGCGTTCTTTTCTTTTTCTTTGTCTTTACTATCTTTATCTGTAAATAAAAATTGATTTTTTATTTTGTAATTACTTTCGGGATGTGATGTAATCTCATGATATATCGTCCTAGCCAAATATGAACTTTTTCGAATATTTGAAAGTTAGCATCTATCCCGCTGAAATATTATAGTCACTTCGATCGGATGTAGAATTTGTGTTTTTGTAAAAATGTTGCGTCCGACTGGAGTTTGGGCTCTATCTATTGATAGGTACTCTATACTTACCTCTGTACCTATTATACACTATACCTGGCAATGTGATCGCCTAATATACGCACAAATAGTATTGCCTCATCTTCATCAGTCTTTAAACAGTTCAATACTCGACATAAACTTAAATGAAGTCCTAGCAGATTTTTATCAATCACCGCGCTATGCAAGCAAATTTGTGATCACCATATCAAACACCTCGTGATGCTCCCGTTATTGATCTTGATACCTACAATCAGAAACTTTTCGAAATGGTTATCTCGGCATTTTTCTTTGTTGACATTTATAATAGTCGTTGAACAAGATGTTCCATATTTCTCTTACGCCGTAACAAAACAGCAACTGCTATGATCGCATTGAATATTAGTCATGTTTGTTATTTAAAGCCAAAGAACCTTTTTGTTTTTTTATTGACGTAATAAACACAGTCAAATTCGTTTGTGTTCAGTCTAGTTACACTAAAGTAACGAAAATAAACACAGGCAGGTATAATTTATAGTTTTTAAAATTTATAATAATTTATAGTATAATCAAACACAATTCCAACACATATCATAATCAAAACTTATGAAAATTCACAGTAGTGTAAATTTTTATCCGGCGTCTATTCTAGTATAACAGAATTCAGACATTATGTTGGGCAGCTGTGAATACAAAACTGCTTGTTTTCGACGCAAAGTCAGCGTCATTATTCGCATCCTTCGTCTGCTGCAGTGGAAGTGTGCCAAGTGTAGCAGTAGTTTTTTTAAACGTCATTTAGCACCAATTCTATAAATAAGTGACTTTATAATAATTCATAATAATAAGAACAAGAATACTTCGACCTAGTTATTTTTTAGGGTTCCGTACCCAAAGGGTAAAAAGGAGTCCTATAAATGTCATTCGGCTGTCTGTATGTCTGACTATCCGTCTGTCCATCCATATGTCACGGATCTCTAGCTTGCAGACGGAATGAGTAAAACTTCAAGTTATTGTAAGCTCGTTTTCCGTAGATCGGACCAAAAATTAATATTCAAAAGCTAAAGGTAACCGGGCTAACTATGTCATTGGGACATAAACATCTCAGTCCCTCCCGTGACCATGGGCACTGTAAAGCACCTGAAATGTCGGGAATTAAGAATGATTAAATTAAACGCGGTAAAATCCGTACAAATAGTTTTATTCAATTTAATTAGTATTCAATCAAACTATTTTCACGTGAAAAAGAAATTGTCAAGGCAAAACCGAAATAAGAATAAATGTTGTATCCTAGCATATCATTGTATAACGCTTACTGAGTGGAGTACAAATAGAAACTGGGGGCCGTCAAAATTATCACTTTTAAAACGTTTTGTTACAGGGTATTGGGGAAAATTTCGCGTGTATTACATGTATAATTATCAAATTGTAAAAAAAATTACAACACACATGTCAGTCGCACAAGTGTGATTCCTAGTAATAGAAAAGTAGACCTAAAAGTCATGATATACTCATATACTTACTAGAGCAATCTTGAGAACTGGACCACTTCTTTTTATCATCGGCGTTAAGCTGAGAATGTTGTTTTCGAATGGATCGTCCCCATCCGGCGGTGATCGTTCCAAGGCGGGAGAACGCTCGTTTCACCATCGGTGAACTTGGCACGCTTTTGGGTCTAGAAATACGTGTTTAATATTTTTATTTGATATTAACATAAAAAGTGCGTTACGGGTATGCAAAGTGAAGTAACAGGCTGCATACGCATTTTATGCGTGTCAGAGCCACGTTGCAGCTATATTATGGTTGTAGCATGAATGGGTCGGCTTGACCGGGGAGGGAGCACGCTCTCACAGGATACCAGCGTAAAGTAGAAGCTTCATGCTGCCGTGTTTCGTATGGTGAGTATGGAGAACTTGAGAACCTTTTTCCGGGAAACATGGAATTTCATCTTGGTCTTCAGGGGTATATGTGGTGGTGGGTGTGGGTGTAGGTGGGGTGTGTAACGTATCTGCATTTTGATTCATAGTTGAGGAAAGCTGTAGGTATCTATGGGCAACAGTAACCACTTATCATCAGGTGGATTGTGTGTTCATTGACAATCCACCTGATGGTAAATGGTTACTGACATCCTTATCCTATTAAAAAGGATGGTTTGGCACTGGCCCACTATAATTTATAAGAATTGGAAAAAATATTTTTACTGGTTACGAGATATCATCATCTTCATTCCCTTCGTTTATCTTAGTCCTCAGAAGTAGCCATATATATTTAAATATTTAGTAGAGTTTAAAATGTCTTTAGGCCACAGCATCGTGTGATCATGTTCTGCTAAAAACGAATAATCCTTCACTTACTATGGTTTCTCAAACTTCAATCACTGATCACAAACCTGTAATTTTATGTATGAAAAATAAACAACGTCAACAGTTTTATACAACTACTATCAGAAAAATAGATCACGATAAACTTAATTCGGATATGCAAAACATTGACTTTTTACCTATATATAATATTAAAGATCCAAATACTTCTCTTGAATACTTAGTTAATAAAATAAAAACAGTAATTGAAGTTAATACTAAATTAGTGAAGTTGCCAAGACAAAAAAAGATCATTAAACCTTAGATTACGACTGGTCTTCTTAGATGTATTCGTCACCGTGATAAACTACATAAGACGGCTAGGCGATTTCCAGATAGTGAAAGTGATCAAATTATATACCGACGATATCGTAATCACTGTAACGCGTTGTTAAAAAAAGGTAAAGAGAAATTATGAAAAAGAGCGAGTGAATATGGCTAAAAATAATAATAAGAAGCTATGGGAAGTACTTACTGATATTATAGGTAACATGAAAAAGAAAGGGTATAACAGAGAACTGTTAAATATATCTAGCACGCCGCAAGTATCTGTTAACCTTATTAATAATTATTTTGTAAATGTAGGTAAAAGTTTGGCAGAGAGTTTTAAGGTAGGAAATAAAAACAGTGAAAGTTTTAATATTAACATTGGTAAAGAATTAAATTATTACTTAAATTCATTTGCTTTATTGGACATGGATGAACGTGAAGTAGAACAATTAATTGACAATTTGAAAACCGACTGTTCAGTTGGTTGGGATGGAATTTCGAATAAATTTATTAAACATTTTAAATATTTGTTAATACCTCCTTTAACTTGTATATTATGTTTAAATGATGGTGTATTCCCTAGATATCTTAAGAAGTCCGTAATTCGACCTATTTTTAAAGATGATGAAAAAACCTGTTTAAGTAATTATAGACCCATCTCTATATTACCTGCTTTATCCAAAATTTTAGAGAAAATTATAAATAATAGATTTACAAAATATCTGGAGAAAAATAATTTATTGTCAAATACGCAGTTTGGTTTTAGACATGGCAAATCAACGGAGCATGCCGTTCATACTCTTACAAATTTTTTGTCATCGTATTTAGACAGTGGAAAAAAAGTGTATTTCTGTTTTCTTAGATTTGGCGAAAGCATTCGATACCGTGTCAATAAAAATACTATTAAAAAGACTGGAAAATGTCGGTATCAGAGGCACTCAACTCAAACTATTCAAAAGTTATCTTTCTGAGAGATATCAATGCGTTAGTGTAAATAATATTACCAGCAATGATTTACTAGTAACACATGGCGTACCACAAGGAAGTATACTCGGCCCAACCTTATTTCTTATTTATATTGATAATTTTACAAAATTTAATCTCTCTCAGGGACATATAATTTCATATGCAGATGACACTGTTTTGATATTTGCTGCGGATACGTGGAAAGATGTATTCTCGTCTGCACAATTAGGTATAAATGCAGTTACTAATTGGCTTTACAGTAATAAACTTTCAATCAATATTACGAAAACAAAATATATAGTTTATTCATTAAGAAAACCTATTCGCAACCTTGAAAATTTTAACTTAGTGATTCATTCATATGATTGTTTAACAAGGGATAACAGCTGTTCCTGCCTTTCACTTGAGTCTGTTGAATATATTAAATATCTAGGGGTTATAATAGATAGTAATTTAAATTTTAAACAACATATTAACACTCTTAGTAAAAGAATTTATAAATTAATATATATTTTTAAAACTATTAGACACGTTTTGGATCCAGATATATTAAAACGAGTTTACTTAGCTTTATGTCAGTCTATTATAACATACTGCATATCAACGTGGGGTGGTGCCTCTAAAACGGTGTTACAAAATGGTGATAGAAATCTCTCAACGTGCTATACTCAAAGTTGCAACATTTAAACCTTTTCTTTATCCTACATCACAGCTTTATGATAACTGTCAGGCCCTTACAGTAAGACAACTGTTTATATTAACGATCATTCAGAAACAACATAACTTATTAGTATACAACCGATCGAACTTAAATAAACGCACGAAATTTTCCGTAGATACAACTAATTTTAAAACAACTTTTATAAGAAAATTCTTTGCATTTTTGGGACCACACTTATATAATAAACTAAATAAAACATTGGACATTTACCACCTTAATAAAATAAATTGTAAAAAAAACTGTACATAATTACCTACAAAAATTAACTTATAATGAAACTGAAAACCTGCTTAGTATTCAGACTTAAAAATAAATTCTTATATAACTGTCACCAGTAATACTACCCGTATAAAATTATAATAACCAGACACACACACAAGCACGTGTGCAACACACACACACACACACACACACACACACACACACACACACATACACACACGACATACATTTTACACGCTCCTCTCCCATAACTGCTCACACACATTACACTCATAACACAATTACTTCTTACAGTCATACATTACACATCCTATGAGAGAGGAACGGCATTAGTAGTATAAATTATTATTTTGTTTGTACCTTGGTATTAGTAATAAGTGGTAACATAGTATATAAACATAATATGTGATACAATTAATTTCATTGTACTTAGGTTATATTAGCGGAATGTACAAATTTTTAGATAGTATTTGATTATTTAACTTTTGCTTGCATCCTAATATATCTATAAATTAACGGTGGGGATATGGCGCTGACAGCTGATGCACAGGTCTCCTAGTTTGGCTGCAGATGCTATGTTTTCAAGTATATGTACTAATGTAGCTTTATTAAATAATGTTATGCAAATATCGTGATATACAACCTCTTGGAAATAAAGAACTTATTATTATTATTATTATCTACTTACAATGAGGTGGAGGTGGATGACACATTTGTCTTGCAATTAATTGTACAAAAATGTAGGTAGGTATGAAAGATTATTCACATGGTAAAAGTATGGGGAAAGGTACTTCTTCTTGCTGAAATTAATGTATATAAGTATATAAAATACTTTCTTTCTGGTCAATTGGTCAAAACGATGTGTATGGATCCCTATTAAAGTTAGCCAAAGTTAAAGCCTGATATTAAGAACAACGAAAAGTATCTAAAAATTAAGTTACAGCGTAAATTTGTCTCAATATTTTATTTGCTCAAGCCTTGGAAATTTAAAAAAAATAGAGAAAAACACGAAAAAATTTTGGAGCAGTCAGTAAACTAATGCGATAAACTTATTAGTATGGACGTATAATTTATACGTCCATGGTAAAATTCAAATCCACAGACTGGAAGCAGGTTATTGCAAGAAGCCAACCAGCTCGATGGGTATAGGAAATTTTAGATCATGTATGTCAGTTGGCGCGGTATTATATCAAATTTTTAAAGAAGAAGAAGGGCGAAATACGAAATAAAATTTTCACATGCAATCTGAACCGCTTGCTTAAGTTACGAGTATCACTGCTTATAAGACATACATATATTCATAGACAGAATTAATGAAAACATGCATAAATATTTTCTTAATTAATTTACAGTCTCAATTAAAAATAAAATTAAGATTTCAATGAGGTTTTATAACGTAAAACCAAGCCGCTGAATATTTAGTTTAAAAATTAGCTGGCCTTAGATCCCGCGTCAAATTCGAGTTTGCTGACCAATATATTTATATATGAATATTTATATAATATATTTATATTGATAAATTACTACAATTTGTATTGATAAAATCAATTAAAAATTATCGTATTATGTATTTTGAGCGTTTTGAGCAGGTATTGAACAACATATCACCCGACAGTTTGCGTGACTTTTTGTTAGTAAAGGTACAGTTTAGTGTTACAGAATGAAATTCGCGTATTTTTATACATCAAAGTGTTATTTTGTTTGTTTTCACTTTAAATATCGGATTTATAACGAAACCCACGTTCTATTAATTGAAATATCAATATATAAAACAAAAAATTGTCAGTCCCAAAGTTACAGCTTATAATCCTATTAATATCCCATATTGTAACAGTCTATTAATATCCTTAGTCTGGCCACAAAATTTCTCGAGGTTAGTCGTAGATTTATTTATAAACACATCAACACAATCTGCGGACAGTTGTCAATATATTAAAAAGAAACTATACGAAGAATTTCTTGAAACATCCTTTTATCTAAAATGCACAGTATAATAGTATATTTTAATTGAAAATATAAATAAAAATCTCGTTATTCCTTTAAAAACATTGCTTTTGTAGTAAAAGTAAAAAAATGTACTGAAATAAGATTTTCTGTTTTTTTTTGTGATTAAAAATGAAACAAAATTAAATAAAA